CTTTTAAAAAATAAATACTGCATCTACCCGGTTTAGAAGGAGACCGTGGTGGAATTCATCAATCTGCGATAAGATAGTGGCAGAAAGAGAATCGGCTTTCAGACTCTATAAAAATTTCTCTACCTCAGCACCGTACATAAGCATAAAAATCTCTAAAGTAAACAAATCGTCCAGGAAGCAAAAGTGATGAACTTTTGATGTCACGGATCAGTCACTTTTATTGTAAACAAAGCAAGTTTTCAAGAAAAGATCGATTGTCAACTCCCCTTTTAGGTTTTGTATGGTACTTACCTTTTTTATTTGTTTAAAACTTATTTTCTACCGTAAATATAGAAGATTATGCAAAAATCACTTTTTGTTAATAAGACCCTATGCGTTCTGCTAAATATTCTTAAAATGCATCTTGAAATCTTGAACAAATGAATTTTATTTCATCGAAAACAATCAGGGATTTGCCGAGATGCAATTTTTTAAAATAATAATATACAGGTTCAGTCTTTTTGATTTTTGTACTCCCATTTGAGCAGCCGATCTTAGATGACGGTTAATAGGTTATATGTTCATAGAACTATTACATTGCGATTCATCGGTTTTTGAGAGACTCGACAACCTCTCCGATTTTTTTAAGACATTTTCCTTGCTTCACGTGGTGCTATCTGTTTCCAGCTCGATGGATGTCCATCTCATAATGCCATTGTTGTAAAGTAGTGGATTCCCTAATCGGTGGAGAAGTCCTGTTCCTTGACCAGCACGTTCAAGTTAAGGGAAATTTAAAGCCTATAAATAGCAATTAATTAAGGTTTTAGTTGAGATAAAAAAGTCAATGGCACGAGCGGGATTCGAACCCACGATCTTTGGCTAGATACGCCGCTGCTCTACCACTTGAGCTATCGTGACCTCGATCTTTTATAAACATTCTGCCATCTATCCAAGTAACGTACACAGTTCGAGCGGCGATGGGGATGCTATTTCACCCTCAGCCCCTCCCCATTCACTCTACTAAATACACTCACTCATACAAAACATATTTTGACGGCTATATACAATAACAATTCCCAATTCCCACAAAAAGCGTGACAGGGGATCCTGAAACTCGCTACCGTGTCCTAGAACCATTCTTAAATCCGAGGGCATACCTTCTGTTCTTTTCTATTGTAAATATTACCCTAATAAAGTTCGAATAATAGGTAAAAATCATTTTAAACTAGGAATTAATTTTTATGTTTATTGTTGTTGCACATTGTTTATCAACATGTTTAAAATTGACTGTAAATCAAAATATGTTATGTTTATACATTTATCTGAATTTACTAGTTTTAGTGGTCCGCTTGACCAATTAATAAAAGTTTTTAGTTGAGATAAAAAAAGGCAGTGTTAAGAGCTGGATTCGAACCCACGATCTTCGGCTAGATACGGCGCTGCTCTACCACTTGAGCTATCATGACTTCGATCCTCTCGGACATCAACTTCCCATCTCACCCAACCTTTCTGAATTTTCCCTCCTTTTTGCCATTTTTCAAATGTCGTGTAATCGGATTGGATTCTCGGCGACAAATCAAATGGCCACGGAGAGCTTTAGTGAAGGTATACTTCATTTTAACTTATTAAATTCACTAATTTCGTGGTCCGCTTGACCAATATTACAATTAATTAAGGTTTTTAGTTGAGATAAAAAAGTCAATGGCACGAAAAATGGCAAAAATGAGGTTAAACTCAAAAGGTGGGTTTGGGATAGGAAGTTGGTGTCCCAGTGAACCGAGGTCACGATAGCTCAAGTGGTAGAGCAGCGGCGTATCTAGCCGAAGATCGTGGGTTCGAATCCCGCACGTGCCATTAACTTTTTTATCTCAACTAAAAACCTTAATTAATAACGAAATTAGCGAATTTAACCTATAAATAGCGTGTAGGAATTAGGAGAAAGGATCCAGGAAGCATGTAGTGTGTTAATTATGGAATTTTGTTTATTTTGTTCTGTGTTAAGGTCTCGTCACATCAATGAATAGGGCTTTTTTCCATTCCTTCATAGTCCACATTTAGAGTTCAGATTTACAAGGAATCTTAGTCTCTGCGGTGTTCTATGGTTATGAGGACCTTGTTGATCTAAAGTTGGGCTCTCTCGACAAGATTGATATTGAATACCACTGATCAAGTTTTTATTGGCAGATGTTGAATTGCATTTACGGAATGCTTGCATTTTACTAAAAATTCTATGGCATTAGTGATACTAGGTCGCCCTAAATTTCATAGTCGAGTGACTCCCAATCCTCCAGTACACTATATTAAACCATGAAACTGACGATGTAGCCCAATGATTTCTCATTTTATGAGTGATGATTCATAGCGGCTTATACTACTCATTCCTGCATAAACATAATCAGCAGAGAATAAAATAAACTTTTGCAGTACAAATATGGCTTATGGTCTCATTGATACTAGATCCATCCAGTACTTCTAGTGTTGAAAACTTCACTATGTCAAATAATACAATAACAAATAGGATAAACATGTAAAATTTAATTTTAATTTATGTTCATACCTTTAAGGAAATCAATAAAACAACCCATCTCTAACCATTTAACGCCAGATTTTTATACAAGCCATAGTTTCCCAGCAATTTAGACAAGAATTCTTCATTTCTGGGTTCACCTTCTTAACAGAATTTGTTTTTACCATTCTATTACAATTAGCTCAAAGAAAAGCTTATTCTTGTAAATCCACGAACTTCGATATTCAACCCTTAACTTTCTTTGATGCGTAAATATATAAAATCCCTTTGTCGTTATCAAAAATGTCATTTCTCTATGCAATTTTTTAAGTTTCAAAGAAGGCGTATGAAAACAAGAGTCGGACGGAACGATCTGGTCGATACAATATGAACTGTCTGAATGACACCATGCTGCGCAATGTCCTTAACAGTCGCCTTCATGCAGTATCTCATATAGATCGTTTGCCAGTCTCTAGACAAGAGAGTAAAGCAACATATCTATGATTGCAAAAAACCCAAGCAAAATCCTACAGCACTCGCTACCCACCACTTTGAACACCAACACAATTTTGACTTCAAAAATCCAAAAATATTACATACAGAACAAAACAAATATAAACGTAATTTCTTAGAAATGGTTTATATCAACAGAGATAAACACAGCATCAATTACAGAACAGATACATGCAAACTCAGTCGCAGCTACGCCAATATCATTAATCAAATACAATACAAATAACATACATACATCATTACATTACATTCCACACATCAAATACTTTTCACATAGTCTAATTTTCCAACAATTTAGCTTTCCTTTTCCTATTTATCCCCTTTCTATATAATCCTGAAAGAATAATCTGGCCGAACTATTACCAACACATTGTTCCCCTTTGTCGGCTTTTTTCACTTCAAAGGAGCCGACGCCTTGCACAAAATTGTCTTTTATATACCGACTTCCTTCCCCACCCCCTCAAAACCAAACATATATAAACATGAAACAGCAAAATCTCACTGGCACTCTCAACACGACACACAAGGATGGCACAATTACACAGAAGACAAACACTTTGAGTGAGTAGAAATACTTTGTTTGAATATAAAATATATTTTGCATTGTATAAATTCACTTATCCACATCCTAAATGTATTTGTTAAATGTAAACATTGTTTGTAAATCCCAGGCCCTGAAGATGATCTCAATAAAAGATCGAAACGTTGGCACGATAAAGAAAATGTTTTTCTGAAACCTACATCACACCCGACCGCATCTCACGATATCCGAATTAGTATTCATTTTTTTAAATCATAGTTTTAAACCCTAAGTAAGCTAAATACCCTAAGATATCTTTCTTGTGTTAACGAATTAACTCGGATAGAAGGAAGAACTTCGTCATTTAGCTCCCATCATAACCCTGGGTGGAAGCGCCATCAGAAAGAAGAGAGCCAGAAGCGCTACATTGGTCGTCTGAGGCCTAACACGGAAACCGTATCTGTCCTTCCTTTTCCCTTTCTTTTTATTGTACTACTCTTCTTTTCTTTTTTTCCCCTTGTTTTGGTATTTATCCTTCTCCAAAAATGCCGTGGCGCTCAACATAACCACTTTCATCCCCTCACCGACCATCACTTGTCTCTCCCTTCAACACGACCCCCCCCCCTTACCACTGAGCTACCGCCAACGTACGTGCAGCCACAGTAAGGAAGCTGTAACAGTCCGTCTCCTCGATACCGATCTCTCAACCACTCGTACACCAACTTCCCATCTCAACCTAACTTTCGAATTTTCCCTCCTTTTTGCCATTATTCATGGATCGAAGTCACGATAGCTTAAGTGGTAGAGCAGCGGCGTATTTAGCCGAAGGAAGTGGGTTCGAATCCCGCTAGTGACACTAACTTTTTCATTTCAATCAATACCCTACATATATATTATATATTGTACATTGTAAAATATATTGTAATGTTATATTACTTTTTCCCACAAAGGTAGATCATCTCTTGATGAGGGTAAAACGGCCAATAAACGGTGGTTTCGCAGAATTGAGAATTTGAGGTTTGACCAAACAGAAGTTTACCTTGTTTGAATTCCTGATGATCCTCAACTCGGATAATCGAGGCTCAATAGTACAAAATATACAGACTGCAGTAGATCAAATTGATAATATTTATGACATAATAATTAATCAGGTTTTCTTTACTTAAGTCTCCAGACTAATTCCTTTGGTTAAACTAATTTTAGAAAATTCAATTTAAAGATTTTTTATAAATCTGATTGGTTTAATATCATTATAAATGTATTATTCCATGTTATATTGATTTTATCGAATTGTTAGAACTGTATTGAAATGGAGACATGTACTAACATTCTGTTGATTACCATCATAAAATTTCTTCAATCTAAATTTTTATAGTTTGATGTTAGCTCAGGAAATTACCAGCACGTGGTCGGATAAAATTTATTGGTGTATCCATATCATTGTTTAATTGGAACACGGTTCTTAAGAGAGAAAAAACGCAATAAATAATTTTGAACTTTATTATAGGGTCCCCAGTGAGAACAACTCCTGTGTCTATTGGATGCTCGCCGGGCTATCGTCTTTACTAAGGGGCTTAGAGTACACGATTTGATTCTTTTTGTTTTTCATAAAAAGGACTAAAATGACCGTCATGTTGTCGCACCCAGTCCCTCCGTAGTTACTTACCGGGCTGAGGCATCGGTTGAGCAGGTCTTCACAGATGGCATCCGGAGGTTTGCCTTGTTGGATCCTGACGGAGACGAACTCGCCGACGTCCGTGTTTGAAAGGACGTCCCAAATGCCGTCGCATGCGAGGAGGATGAACTCCCATCGTTCGTTGAGCTTAGTTTCTGTAACGTCGGGCAAAGCGATTATGGATTGTTTCTCCTGGTCTCTGTTTTCGTTCATCTTGTAGACAAAATCGCCGAACGCCCTCGAGACGGCCAGGTTGCCGTTGACCCGGTTGAACTCCACCCATCCGCCAGCTTCCACGATCCTCTCGTATTCGGACGGGGTGTTGGGCTTGTGGTCGAAAGAGAGTGCGTGGACGTGGCCGTCGATGACCGCGATCGCCCTCGAATCTCCGAGATTGGCGCAGAACAAAGAGCCTTCCTTGATGAGGACAACGATGGCCGTCGAACCGGACATGTCGTCCTGCAGCTCCTCCCGTTCTCTCATCTCCACGTCCATGTCTAAAAACGCAGCTTTCATGGCGTCCTTGACGAATCCGCGTTGGAATAAGTCGTTCTTGACTACATATTTATGAAGGTTCCTACTGGCGAACTCTGCCACTTTCGGCCCACTGTGGCCGTCGTAAACGGCGAAGTAGCTCGCCGTCGGATCTCCCGGAAGCTCCATATATACGGAATGCGCGTCTTCCATCGTGACCCTCCAACCTTGCATCGAACTGACAGCACCTTTGAACTTTTCATTTTCAAAAGTGAAGGTGTGTTTCTCCGTAATCGGTTGAGATAGAGTTATGCCCATGCCGAATATACCATTTGTGACAAAATTGTTTAATTGACGTACTCCTCGACCCTTTGACATTTTCGTCGATCCATTTTTTTCCAGACGATCCAGAAGGGTCTTACACCATGTACCGATGACTTTTCGCTTACAATTTCGGATGTTTAAATTAAATAGAGCTTTTAGTATTATAATATGAAAGTCACTTGGAGTCTTTTTGACATATGTTGGACAAAATAAACGATCTATTTAACATGTTATTTTCTCGTCTGTTGTTGAAACTTATTACAACGCCCCATTAATACATGTATTTATTGTGACTACATTGAATCGAAATAATACTCTTACTTTCAACAACACCATACGCCAGAAGGTGGTATATTTTTAGTGCAGAAACAGTCGCTGTAATTTAATTCTCAGGCGTGTCGTTTTGCTCTGTCAAATTTTGCAACTCACACATGTGAAGCTACCCATAACATATTTTATTCTTTTTCATTTTTAAACACAAAGAAAATTGTGTTTCTCTTCTTATTCATAATCGTGAAGAACCGAGTTTCCATTTTTACTGGTTTACATTACAACATAAGTTACATTATACTAGTTTTAAATAAAACTCAAATATCTGCTGATTCAAAACTGTGCATATTCATCATGGCCTGTGTAAAAAAACTGATTGAACATGATCTTACAAAATTTACAACAATCAAACTTACATCGGGGTATATAAGTTGTAAATATTATTTTCTTCTATAAATATAAACGGTCCGCCTCGTCTTACCGTATTATTCTTACTCGTTTTTCTTAGTGTCTCCCATTCTCCCTTTTCCCTTTTACTTATTGTCTCTCTCTTTCCCTTTTCCACCTTTCTCTCTCTCTCTCTCTCTCTTTCTCTCTCTCTCTCTCCACTTTTTCCATCTCTTGCTTGTCCCTCTTTCTTTCTGTCACGCTATATATATATTTTATCTATTCTTCTATCCCTCTCCAACTTTCTCTCTTTACCCCTCCCTCTCTCCCTCTCTATCCACTTACATCTATCTACCTATCTTTTTATATTTTCCTGGCTCATACCCTTCTTACTTAATTATGTATTCTTATTCAAACACTTCTTATTCTTACTCTAGACCTCCCTATATTTACATTGTATTTGAATATTTACTTTTTTCTTCTCTCTCTCTCTCTCTCTCTCTCTCTCTCTCTCTCTCTCTATCTATCTATCTATCTATCTATCTATCTATCTCTCTCCTTTTGTAGCTCAATCTCCCCCTTCCCTCTCTATGTACCTACATCTACCTAGTTTTTTCTATTTTCCTGACCCATATTCTTATTATTTATTTATATACTCTTACCCAAACACTTCTTACTCTTACTCTAGAACTCCTATATTTACATTGTATTTGAGTATTTACCTTTTTCGTCTCTCTCTCTCTCTCTCTCTCTCTCTCTCTCTCTCTCTCTCTCTCCCTCTCTTTCTTTAGCCTTCTCTCTCCCTCTATCTATCTCTAGGAACTTGCTGATCAATTTGAAAATCTTAGCATATATATGTAGTTATATAAATATATGTTAAGTTGTTTTCTTGTAATTGCTAGCATTTTAATGTAAGTTAACTTGTATGTTCGTTTTGCTTTTTTATTTCAAAAACAGCAAAACAGAAAGAGTATAAATCTGAGTACAGGCCAGTTATGACGCCATCAGGCTCATCTCACATTCTTCGAGTCGGCGGTATTACTCACATATATCACTTGCACACATTATCTTTCTTTCTTTATTATTTCACATTATCCGATGACGATTTATTATTATCACAGAGTAGCATTTAACTGAAAGTTCAGGACTAACAGAAATTGGTTAATTTGCACTGTTTAAAATCAATCTTTTTCAAAGTTTTATAAAAGAAGACGAAGTATGTCGGCCTTGGCCGTTTAAACTTCCGCAATTTTGTGTGGAGAGAAATTTCTTAATATTTTAAGTATTTTTACTTAAACTCTTTAATAAAAGTGTCTTATTTAACAACGTATAGATTTTTTTATGTCTTTATTATATAATCAAAGGGCACTTATTCCAACCGCAAATTTGTCAATTACGACAAGTCGATACTAAAGCAAAAGTATAACAGTTTAAAAATCATCACTTAAACCGTAAAAATCGTCATTGTTCAAACTCATTGGTTCATGGAAAACAGAAATGACCGATATATTCATTAGATTCGGAATCGGAATTTTTCATGTGTGACGAGCGGTTTCCCCGAGCGCGGCTCGCGGTTCGGATACCGTCGCACGCTAGGGCGTTCCGAGGGGGCAGCGAGTTACTCCACTCTAAGCCCGTCAAGCCTTTTTGGGGTAAGATGTGTCAGGTTGCCCGGGCTCGACGGGTGAACACCCTTTTCTTATTTGCTGCTAGTTCAGGCCAAGGAGGTTTGGGGAAAAGACACCAGAATTCGGACCAAACAATCAAGTTCCTTTATTGTTGTGACTAACAATTCCCAATATGTACAAACAAAAATAGTGTATAATTCAGAGACAACCCTATTACTGGACAATTATTTCTAGGTACTTATAACTAGTGATCTTATTTTCTATAACTAACTCTTACTACTAGGGGCTTAATTACTGGGATAGCCGNGGGCCGCCCCGACCGAGGCGGCCCGACCGTGACAGCACTCCGCTTACCGCCTCTCTCTTCAATTCCTGGCCGTCTCCATGGAATTCTCTACTCTCTACTTCTCTCTCTACTCTCCACTACTCACTAATTCTCTGATTTTACTCTCTACTGATCGTCCCTCTTTTATCTATCCGTTCAAGGAGAAGGTGGGGAACAGTTGTATTTCGAAAACACTGCTATGCTTCCGGGTGACCCGACTGCCCTTGTCCTCTCAGGTCATTGAGCTATTCCGGATGAGTCCGGGCATTAGCTAACCCTGAGGGTTGAGCAATAAGGCACACTCGTCAGCACGACAGCCAATGTTTCTAGGGCAATTGCCCCGGGATCGGCCCACATTTCTTAATCGAAAACATCCAGCTCTTATTATTTCGCTAGCTTTGTTTAGCTGCGTCTGGAATTTTCTAGAAAGACGGGGTCGGTTCCCGCGATTCTAGGCCACTTCCGTCTACTCAATACGCTCTCCCAATAATTAGCTAACATATTTCTTATGTATAATCTTATATTTACAATATACTTAATTTCTATAAACTCTGTTTAAGATTCCCAACATGGAATCTTCACATCATGCCTGAGGAGCCAAGGGATAAGTAGGAATACAATGGTGACGTGGCCATCGATTTCATCCATATGACTCACTGACTCAATGGTTACGAAACAATCCGATCATAATTCCCATAACCCTTTCAATTATCCATAGCTGTTTTGAACACAAACCGATAAATAGAAATATAATGATTTATTATGAAGTTAATAAAAATTAAGGTTTAAATAGCCATGAAACATCTTTTTCACATCTACAGGTCAATTTATATCTGCATGACAAAGTCTGTTCAATTAGTACAATGGCAGAGAGGTTTTGGTATCCTAATTTGCGCGAGACTGTCCTTGTATAGATATTTGTGTTCGATTCTCAGTTCAAAAGGCTTGACAATTTATCAAACCTTACATTAAAAGGATTACTTACTTGTGTCGCCCTTTGAAAGAAAATATTGTTAAAACCGTATCCGACGGTATCAATTGTGGTGTGTTAACGACTGGATGTACAATTATTAAATAAATTAGCTATTTATTTTGTCCCTTTTTCTAATTAAAAAAATTTCTTAGTTAGAATAATAAGACAGCAAAGGCTTCTTCCATCTCTTTCCAATTCTCTCTGCTTTATCAATTTTTCCCGCATATTTCTTAAGCTGGTTTTGATCGATAGTTTCTTCTCCATCCTCCTAGGTGGATCCATTTTGTCGCCTTTTGGCCTATTGTCACTCAGCTTAAATGTCCTGCAAAAACACCAAGAAGGCCATAAAGGAATGCTCCCATGTGAGACACCGGCATTGCGTCAAGTTTCTGAACCATATATGTTAAGCAGGGATATAATTTGTCCCAAATACGTTGTTTAGTCCCCCAGTTAAATTGCTTTTCTGTATAAAATTTTGTTTTCTTTTTTCATTTGCTATTAATGGTTGAATGATTGAATTTATGAAGAACCCTTCTTGCCGAGTGGTTTACATTCAGTCTCATGGTGACCCTGACACTGTCATACTCATTCAAATACCTGACTTGAGCCATTGAAAAAATGGATTAAGTAAAAGAAAAATGTATTTGAGGTATTGGTTGAGATAAAAAAAGTCAGTGTCACAGGCGGGATTCGAACCCACGACCTTCGGCTAAATACACCGCTGCTCTACCACTTGAGCTACCGTGACCTTGATCCAGTCGGACACTAACTTCCCATCTCAACCTCACCTTAAATACATTTTAATTAATTGAAAGATATTATTTGATCAAGCGGACCACGAAAACTAGTATTAATAAGTTAAATAAAGTAAATCTTCAGTAAAGCTCTCGTGGCCATTTCATTTGTCGCCGAGAATCAAATAGATTACACGACATTTGAAAAATGGCAAAAAGGAGGGAAGGTGGGGTTGAGATGTGGTTGAGTTGGTGTCCGAGTGGTTCAAGTGGTAGAGCAGCGGCGTATCTAGCCGAAGGTCGTGGGTTCGAATCCCGCTTGTGACAAGGACTTTTTTATCTCAACCAATACCTTTTATAAAGATTTTAATTTTAGTACAATTCTTTTGATCTTGAAACTTATTTTCAACAGAAATTTATTTATTAAATTGTTTGTATAAATGTCATTACGATAAACGTCAAGTTTTGATGTTTCAAAAGTGCTCTCTCGTTATTTTTTAATAAAGACTTTGTATAATTGTTCGTAAACTGCTTAATCCCAAGAGTATCCCAAGCCGGTATAGCAGGGGTGCTCAAACGGTCGATCGCGATCGACCAGTCGATCGCGAGTGCTTTTTGAGTAGATCTCGAGAAGAAAAAAATTTTTAATAAGTAGGTAGGTAACTAAACTACAAAAATGTATTACGTAATAAAATAACACTGCTTGCGGCAAAAGGTGGCTTTATCAAAGGAACGCGCGGCACTTGTCAAAGAAAAGCCGCGTTGTTTCTAGACTAGTAGACAGTACAGTCTAGTCTAGAAACAACGAGAGACAGTACAGTCTAGTTTCGGGCGGCGCGTTTGACGGGAACATTCGAGACTTTCGTTCACGCCGATATAAATGTTGTGCCTGCAGGAATTGGAGTCATTCTGAATTGTAACTTGATGGCGATACTACGTCGATACAAAGTTTATTATTAAATAGTGGAAAATGAGTGCAGTGAAATCTAAAACGTATCATTTTAATAAGGATTGGGAGGAAGAATTTTTCTTTTGTATGGTGAAGGATAAGTGCATTTGTGTTATTTGTCGTGCGTCAGTTGCAATACCTAAGCGTG